ATATATATATATATGTTACAGAGAAATGGTTCACAAATCCCGTTCTAGCAGAAGACAGGAATTGAAAAAAAGAGGGAAGAGGTTGGTGACAGGTAATCCGTCTGTATTAGTAATTCAAAAATAAACGATTTATTATTATATGGTGTTTGTAACATTATAAAAGTGATGCAATTAAAGATATAAATCAGGTGGATAGGAATCATTCTTCTGTTAATGGTTGCATTTCCAAAACATGGGTTCTGATTAGTTATTATACGGTGCTGCTGGAATAGAACTGTGTACAGAGTAGGGGTTTAGGCGAGATGTATTTGGCCACTTGTGATAGGGTAAGGTCGGCAACAGTTAAAATGTAAAATGTAACATGTATCGGGAGCGAGATGGCGGCACCACCAAAAAGCTAACTGTGCAAAAATTTAGTTGTTCAAATGAGGTAAAATTTGCAAAAGGTTTTTTTGTACTCAATTATTTGTTCTCTTTTTCTTTTCTTTCAAACAAAATTTCATATGCAAAAATGTTTTTTTTGTCCAGTGCCAAAAAATATCTGCAAGTAGTGTTTTGCTGGTGTCATCGTTAGATTATTGAAAAACTGGGAGTCGGTAATGATCAAAAAACCGAAAAGGTTAGAAATGTTATTTGAATAAGATCATTTTAACAGTTTTAACCTCTCAGGCGGGAAATACAGATTTTGAAGTACTGAAACCTTTATCATTATATCCAACGTTCGGGGAATTTGTTGATAGTGGTCAAATTTGGCAAAAAGTGACTGGTGGGACGGTACAACGTGCAGTTGCTTTAATATTTTTTTAACTTTGAGTATAATTTAGACATATTTGATCACCTAATTTTGTCGTAACCATCGTTTTTTTTCTTTGGCAAATTTTATGTTACATAATGAATACTTGTCTTTTATTTTTTTTTTTTAAACTGATTTTTCTCGTATTCTGCCAGAAATCACTGCAACAGTCTTGTTTACTTGTAAACCAAAAAACTTTTTTTGAGTACTTAGCATGGTTAAGGTTTGGTGACAAACAATTTTGGATTTTTTTAAATGGTCAAACTACAGCCTTCCTTAGCAGGCAGAAAATGTCGGCCTCCATCTTTCACAGAAGTCTCTTTTATTCAAATGTCGCAAATCTCTTTGTACATTATGGTTCTTCCATATTTACAGAATTGTATTTGAAAAATAAGAAATAAATTTTTTCTTTTTCACCGATCGCTTTCGTTAATTTTTAGTTGTAATTTTAGTTCAATTTACTTATTATTTTCTTTCATCACATTTCTAAAACTTCATTTGTCAGATGAAGGGTAATTTTAAAGAGTAAGGTAATTCTGTTTTTAGTTGTCAATGGAGTTTTGATAATCAAATTGCTCTCCACTTTAAAGGGATTCTCTGAGATACATTGACTTTTGCATCATTTTGTTGCCTTGTCAAACGTTCTTTTGTTAATGTGGTGTTTCTCTTTTGCACTGTACTTATAACTGTTTTCAGAATTATGCGAAATTGCTTACTATGAAATAGAGTGTCTCTGGAGCTAACCGTGTCCACCTACATTTTTTTTTTTTTTTGC